TTGCGGCAATTCTTCTGCTCATTGTTAACCTTTAAAAATGTATTACTTTACTTTTAAATATTGTGTTTCTTTAATATTTAAGCATCTGCACGATTTATCTTATATATCATGTATATGTTTTCATGCATAACAGACTGAGTTTTAACACTTTATTTTATTCTTGGTTTATTTTTGCAATAAATACTTATTCATGATGCGCGCCGTATCGCCATGAAATTTTGTTTTGAAAGTCGAAATCTAATCTATAGACACTTGGGATGATGTGTGAAAAAACAACTATTAATTCATGTTAAAATGGTCGTCAAAAACACCGCTCGGACAAAATGGAACAAGGAAATTTATCGGAATGAGAATACGGATAGAATTAGGCGAAAAAGCACAATATAAGCAGACTTTGATACTCATACAGAAAATAGTTTGTTAGTATGGAATGTAAAACACGTGGTTTATTTTGCCGAATAACTTTCCCTATGTTCCAAGTGTAAACAGTCTCTGAAAATCATTGGTTTGTACAGAGTAAATCCGATATAGTTTCGGAAACATTTTAAAAATAAAGTGCTAGCTTTGTAACCCTATAGACCAAGTCTACACAGGGCAGACAGCAACATCGGAATGAGGCCTGAGAAAGTTAACGTAGGCTGAGAAATACATGGGAACTTGATTCGGCAAAAATAAAATAAAAAAAATTCAGGTCCCGTTACAGTCTGATTAAAGCCAGCTCCAAGTATCCACTTGCGTCTATAAACGCAAGTTGATAGTTCGGGCTGGCTCTAGTCAGACTGGTTCAGTTACAATTTTTTTCTCTCGAAATTTACAAGCAAACGACTGACTAATTATTTTTCAAACGGCAGAAAGAGACTGAAATAGCTTGATCTTGAAATCATTTAGATTTTATATATATTCGTGTTAATTTACGCTTGCATGGGTATTCGGTGGTAGTGTGTTTTTTTGGTGTGATTTGAGTTGGAAATAATTTACATTTACAAGTTCGGAGACAAAACGACTGAAAGAGAATAAACATAGTTGCCTTTTGAGGCCCTGAGGGACATATTGCTCACATACTAGGCGTCAGGAAAAGCCCGAGGAGTTTCACAGTCTTAAAAGGAGTTTTTAGAACAAGTATAAAAGTATATCTATATACATGTAAAAAAGAAGTGTTTTTATTTCGTTGTGTGGATAAATATACTATATACTAGTATATATATGTACATTGTAATATAAAATGTATGTGTACGAGCTTTAGAAACACGATGAAATGCGAGACTCGCCGACCTTTCCACTTGTTTCGTAGTGAGTACAAATACATTGAATTTTATATTTCTGACAATGTACATAATTTTTATATTTTGTTTTTATTCTACAATTTACACCCCAAGGATGACTAGGAAATAGAAATATGGTCACTTGGTCTTCTTCCGACCTGCAGTCAGAAAATGCTTCCAAAGTGGGGCGTCCATTTGGCTGTGCGGGATGTATCAAGTTTGCAGTCACGTCCGGTCAGAATGGGGACGTTAAATCCGATGCCTCGTGTAAAGAGAGTTCTACGCTCTTTGAACATTAAGAACCCTTGAAACAACTCTTTGAGAGGTCCGTAGGTGGCCTGTTGCGAAACAAAATGTCTGTCCCTATCCAATATACCCTCATTTTCCAGTGTCAGTCCAAATTTTCTCGACCATCATCCCAGATGGCCTCTATTACAAAACCTAGCTATTGTATTTATTGTTAACTTGTTCTCGTCCTGAACATGCATGAACTATTTGCCACTGGACGTTAAGCAACCAACAATCAATCCTATAATTTACACCCGTCACTTATAACTTTAATTGTTAAAATTTAAATCATTGCCTCTAATTTTTTCAAAGCAATCGACCGCTTCCTCATTATGGAAGTGGGGTAACATGAGACTTTATTTGTAAAAGGACAAGTACAAATAAAACAAAAAAATATATGGTACATATTTTTTGTACAAAAGTTGGCTGTTATAATGATAAATGGAGATATGGGATATGCAATTTATAAGATAGCAACATCTGGACATTTAACGACATCAAAACCAAAGACCTCAAGAAAATTGTGACTAATGCTAATTGGACGAGTATCTTTTTATTTCTAATTTGTAGTTTTAGTAAACGTTGGTCCCCTAAATTGGAAAGTATGTGTAGTATAATTATCACAGTAACATTTCAGTCTCTTAGTACATATTTGTTAAGTCTTAAAACTTTTGTTCTTCTTGAGAAAATTCAAACCATAATGAAATAAGGAGATGCGGTAAGATTGCCAATTAATCAACTTTCCACCAAAGACAAAATGACGGAAATGGTAGCTTGCTTACATTGCTACTTCATTTTAGATCTCCAAATTACCATTCCATTATATGAACTGCATATTCAAAAATATGTTTTGTCACCAAAATTCCAATAGAGCACATATCATCATATTGTTTCACCCGTGTCCGTTCGACCGTCAATCCCGCACTTGACATATATACATAGGGTTTATACATACGGCTAATTATTTAGGACTACAGTCTTTTTGCTTCAGGTTTAAATTATTTACCTGGTGTTACTACTCATATTAAAGGTACGCATGTCGTCTGGATTTTCTTTATTTTTTGTTCATGACAGGTTGCTGGATTAGGCATTTTGATAACATATAAAAGGAACGCAGTGTACAGACTCCGGCTTACATCTCCTACATGTGGAATTTCAAGCTGGAACTTTTATATTTCGCGGTTTGCTTTACTTATAAAGAATGAATATATGATCTCAAGATTTGTTTTGTAAATAATTTTCCACAAATGACAGACTGTTGAACTTTGTGAAATTTTGCATACAGTTTGCAAGGTTTGTCCGACTTGCTCAACCAACCAACTCACACATTTACACCACGTAGAGTACACTATACTAATGTATGTACCAAGTCAAGAATATGACGGCTGTTTATCATTCTTTCGATGTATTTGAGCTTATGATTTCGTCATTTGATAAGGGACTTTTAAGTTTTGAATTTTTCTTTGAGTTTTGTTATTTTATTTTTTAGAATGTGTATTTTATCAGGATCATTATATTCCCTCATAATTTTCACAACCAACAGAATGTTTAACCTTTTTTGACTGGTGCATCAAATTTGTCTTTTATAAACAACTGTTTTCCAAATTGTATTGTATCGTCCCGAACATGCATGAACTATTTGCCACTGAACGTTAAACAACCATCAAAAAGCAAGCAATTATAAATCTGTTAACTGAATCAAATTTTTAAAGTACTCTATTTCTGCATGGATGCAGCGATGACACCACCATTGTCTTAAATGATTGAGTTAAAAACTCAGTAATTCAAATGAACCACACGTGAAATTTTTCATGTTATTTTCACGTGAACTTTACAAACATTTGGAGGTATTTTTCATGATTTTAATTAAATTTAGAATAAAGATATTATTTGAATAATCTTATTATAAAAATTTACGTGAATTCAACGTGTACCAAATTCCGTTGATTTATGCATGAACTATTATCATAAGATTCACGTGGAACCAACCAGTTCAAGCAAGTTTCAAGTATATGCTCGTTTGGTGTGAAATTCAGACGAGATTAATGTTAATTCATGTGAGTGAAATTTCCATGTGCAGGACGAAATAAATTTATATCAATAGAATTTCATATTGCATAACTAGGAAATTTACGAAACCCGACAGGGGAAATGAAAATAAAAAAACAACATTCAGATCCTGACACGTATTTTGTTTTCCATATCTCTGAGTAGGAATAACGTTATATTCTGTATTCAATAACGTCATACGTTTTCGGTCAAATTCTAGGCATATCGATCAACTTTGAAGCCATTTATCTCAAAAACAAGGATGGTGACATATGAGTTTTTTTACGTGTATGGATTCAGTATGCAATCCTGGATATTATGTTAGTTTTTTGTTTTTCTCCGTATATAAGAACATATCCATCCATTGGAAAATCTAAAAAGGAAAGCCGAAAAAAAAACATTTCTCCTATATACCTATGTAAATTTGTCGCCAAAATTGACGTATTCCTATCAAAATACCAAGAAAACAAAAATGGTGACCCCCATTTTTTATTACATATTCCGATGTAATTCGATTCAAAGAACACGTGTGTCAAAAAATTTGGAAATTGGGAGATATGCCATTCGGTATCGTGTTACCTTAATATACTTTCAACTACTATTCAACCGTGAATGGATGTTGAAACTTCAACGTTGAAGTTTCAACGTTAATTCAAATTTTCAAAATCAAACATAAATTTGACATTGTTTCAACGTTGAGAAACAACGTTGTTTCAACATTGAATCAACGTTGAGTGCCTGCTGGGAAGTCTGTACAAAAAAAGAGATGATTTTTTAATGAAACACCTATCCAAATAACGTGGAGGTAAGAAATTTTAGGTCACCATACGACCTTTAATAATGATCAAAGCGCATGTCGTATATTCAGCTGCAAGTATAATAGGCACTGGACAAGAAAACCCAATCCCCTGGTTTATGAATTTTTTATAACAAAAACAAATATCACAGACCTACCAACAATAACCACTGAATTAACTTCTAACTAAGGAGATGTAATATGATTGCCAATGAGACAACTATCCACCAGAGTCCAAATGACGACGCGGATGTATGTACATTACAATAATATAACAAATAAACCGACAGAGTTATTGATCAAAACTATCCTTTCCCAACTGTAAAATCAATGTTCATAATAAAATCAAATGTGTCGGTAAAATTCTATCTAAACAAGAAGATATTAGTAATAAACATACTGTTACATAAACAAAAATGTAGAAAATATAACAGAAACATAACATTGAATAAAAGTAGAACAACGAAATGAATGACTGTGAATCAACATTTATTTTAACACTTTCGATTATCGTTTTGAACAGCGGATGACATTCATTTTCAGAAGTGGAAAAAAAATGACAAAATATTTAATAATAAGAAAATATAAGATAAATTTATACTTACACTTGTTCATTAAATGGCCAGTAAACTGAGTGAATTGCATTGTTTCATTGTAAAATTACCCAACTATTCTAAATTTAGAAAAATATCAATGGGAAGGAAATTCGTGAAAATTTGAAAGATATTACAAACTTACAAAGATATAGCTACACATTCATCATGCTTTCTTTCTTATGTAATTAAACTCAATTAGTAATAGCTGTTCTTAAAGTAAAACATGCGCCCAAATAAAATTCGTATTACCCTCACTTGATAATTAAGTAATTTAAAAATATCATATCAAACAACAAGAAGTACAATAACTTAATATATTGTTTGGGTTGTGATTTTACCTTTCGCGTAGATTATCACTATTTATCCATAATGTAAATTGATAAATATAAACCAAATGGAAGTATGCAATATACATTTAATACGAATTAACACCACGAACAGAAAAACTGAGGGACTTATCATTTTTTACTTTGGAAAAGGGGGGGGGGGGGGGTCCATAATATTTCACTATTTTTATTTTATCCCCCCTTAAAAATGTTTAAAAAAAATGTGTTTCCCCCCTCTATTAAACATGCCAAAATTTTAACATGCAAAACACTTAACTTTGACACACATGATATGTAGGATATACTTGATGATTCAAAAGTTCACAAATGTTTCATTAGAGATAAAATTGGTCCCCCCACTTTCAATTTATAAAAAAATTTGAACCCCCTTTTCCACTTACAGAAACAAACTTGACCCCCCTACATTTTGACCAGCCCCCTTCCCAAGTAAAAAATGGTAAGTCCCTTATTTCCATATTATATACAGTTATTGGACGATCATTTGAAATTCGTGGGGGAGAGGGAAGGGGTAGGAGGATTCTTTTGCGGATTAAATATTCACTTTCATCTGTTGCTACGACAATTACTTCCTGCATTTTGTGTTGCAAAATATTCATTTTCATCATGTCTTGAGCAAGACTATTTATTTTCAGGTCTCACCAGAATAGAATTACCATGCCCCAACCCCACAGAAAATCAAATAATCGTATCCTAACGGGGAGAAAACTTTGATGCTCAATATATACAAGCAATGAAGATATCTTTGTTTTGACATGCAAGAAGCAGCCGTCATAGAATTGATTTGATATAAACCTTGATTTGTATAAACCTTATCTGCTTATGGCCAAAACACAAAAATTTATACTACAAATATTGGCAATTATTTCATTAATGATCCCTTTTCCCATATTCTTTATTATCAGTTCATCAAGATTTTTTGTCGTATACATATATTTGTCTTGTCAAGTTATGTAACACATATCTGGATCTGCATTATGGTTTAATACAAAAAGACATGATCATATTGTTTCTGTATTTTACAAGGAGATTAGAGAGCAAATAATGGCAGTATTTTCCCACTGTTATGGTGTGTAGTTAGATGATATTAACCAGCGTACAATACCTATATATTAAAACCGGTACTAAGGCCGGCTTGAACTTGCAGAAAGCTCTTGTTCCATGTTTAAAGTCAGATTTCAACTGGGAGTTAAAAAAATAGCAGTTTAAGCGGTCTTTCTTTTCTTTATTTGTTGTTAAATCCATGTAGGTATTTTGTGTCTTAAGATGATACATTATATCCCTTCTTTTGGATAATATATAAACAGAATGTTATGTAGATGAAAGACTAACATTTCATACTGTAATATGTAAAATACAGCAATGCACTGGTTGAGGTCAATGATGCAAAACTTAAATCTGAGTTCTGTTTTTATTTTGAACATCCATTTTACTTTGTAGATTTAACGAGCCATCGTTTTCGGTTGATGACATGCCGTTCACTGGTTCAATGTCAGACTCAGATTGTGAATCAGACCAACAAGAATCCTCGTCTTCGTTTAATTGGGGTTTGTTCTTAATACCAGTTCTTGTATAAGTTGTAGAGTCTTTTCTGTTGGACCTTTCAGCAGTTGATGCTTCATCACTTTGTCTATTATTAGCTCTAAAAGAAAATCATTAAAAGTCTAATTGAAACATTGATATCTAGATAAAAATGAATTATAGAAAATTTGATAAACACGACGATAAAGTCGAATGAAATACTCGGTAATAGAAAATACGTACACATAAAAAACATTGAACTTATTGTTTTCATAACAATAACAATATACTTCAACGAGGGATAATAAAGTTTTTCCATTGTACCAAACAAAAAGCATCCTGATGCATTGATTTGGATGAATATTTTATTGTCTATGTATATTCAATTAACATATGTACCGAAGTCAACCTAAGCCCCATGGATGACCATATCGATGTTCATAGTATACAGCAAAACGCGAAAATAATTGTCCTGTCCCCAAGTACCTATGAAAATTATGTGTAATTCTAAACAATCCTCAACGGAAGTCTTGTCTATAACTCAAAATTCCGGCCGATGACGGAAAAAATTAACCGGACGCCTTTATTTTTGTTTTCCTCCGTGACGCTCATAATCTACAGACTCTAAAGAGCCTGTGTTGCTCACTTAGGTCTATTTGCATCTTCATCAATGGACGACATTGTAGACTAGAATATTATTCATGAACAAAAGCTCCTCGAACTTGTATTGATATTTTTACTGTTTACTGTTTCTCTCTATCTTCTATAGTTTTGACCAAAACACTAAAGGGTAAACCGTCATTTAAGGGCAATAATTCCGTTAAGAAGACAAATTCATCTACATGTATGCTGATCTATTTGCAGATCTTGTTTTGTTTGTAATTTTTCATGAAATTTCTATCAATCTATTATAGGTTTCAAGATAATAGGCAAAATGCAAAACATAGTAAAATTTTTTATTTAAGGGCACTAAACCATATAAAGAGTTGTACACCAATTTCAGCAATATCAACTTCATAGTAGATCTTGCCTTGTGGACCATTTTTGCTCCCTACAATTTTCTGTATATATTATCAAAATAGTCTTTTTTTAAATAATCAGCAAAAATAGAAAAAATGGTAAAAATCTTCGTTTAATAGCAACAACTCCTTTAATGAATTTACTGACGTTTTCCATAATTAGACTTATTTATAGATCTTGTCTTACTGTTTAATTTTGCTCTTTTCAAATTTCTATTTATGTATTATAGTTTTAAATATGATAGGCAAAAATGCAAAAAATGATAAAACTCGTCATTTAAGGACAATAACTCCTATACAAATGATAAGGAGAGGGCTGATGATTTAGGCTATTAAACTAATTTGTTGATCTTGTCTTGTTGATCATTTTTACTATAACAAGTTTATGTCTATCTGTTATCATTTTCAAGATAATAGACGAAAATTTGTAAAATTTTCATTTAAGGGCAATAATTCTGACAAAACATCTTCTGACAGTAAATGTAAATAGATAGACTAAATAATTCAAAATTTGGTGACTATGTTGAACGCATCTATCCCATCGATAAAGGATACAACAGATACAGTTAAGTCTGCCTCATATCTTGACTTACATCTGGAAATTGATAATGAAGGTCGGTTGAAAACAAAACTTTACGACAAATGAGATGATTTCAGCTTCACAATTGTAAACTTTTCATTTCTATGTAGCAACATTCCAGCAGCGCCTGCATACGGATTATATATCTCCCAGTTGATACGATATTCTAGGGCTTGTATTTCTAATCATGATTTCCTTGATAGAGGGTTGCTACTCTCAAGGAAGCTATTAAACCAACAGTTCCAAGGGGTGAAGTTGAAATCATCTCTACGTAAATTTTACGGACGCCATCACGAGCTGCTTGACCGTTATGGAATATCCGTTTCACAGATGATAGTGGATATGTTCCAAATGTCGTCACTTCAATCCCGTCCCATTTTCCCTAAATGTGACGTACTGAATTACCGGGTTTGTACCAATATGAGCAACACGACGGGTGCCACGTGTAGAGCAGGATCTGCTTACCCTTCTGGACCACCTGAGATCACCCCAGTTTTTGGTGGGGTTCGTGTTGCTCAGTCTTCAGTTTTCTATGTTGTGTTTTGGTGTACTATTGTTTGTCTGTTTGTCCTTTTCTTTTTTAGCCATGGAGTTGTTAGTTTATTTTCGACTTAGGAGCTTTAGTGTCCCTTTGGTATCTTTCGCCTCTCTATTCTAAACATTTTTGCCCTATTATATTTTCTCGATCTACAGTGGTTTACAAGATAATAGACTTTACTTGCAACTCACCCCTATGTTCTACGTTTAGCAATGTTGGTCATGTTGGTTGGCAGGCGGGGTTATCGGACACATATTTAAAACTAGATACCCAATTGATGAATGTGAACAAGTTTGCTTAAATTTGGCACAAGGATTTCAGAGGAAATGATCTTTGTAAAAGTCAACGGACAATGACAGACGACGGATGCCAAGTGATGGCTAAAGCTCACAACGTCCCTATGGGCCAAGAAAGCTCACAAACCAAAACAGGCAAACAAAACATCTTGGATAGATTATATTTTGATATGTCTTCAGTACTTCTCGGCAAAGATGATCGTAACATATGACAATTGATGTAGGAGATTCTATAGTGGACGATAAAAACATAGCAAGCCGTAAGACACGATATTCTTCTAAATTATAGGTAAATTTTAAACAATAGTTATTAATTTGAGAAAAGTGTTAAAACACAATTATATAAAAACCAGACACAAAAAATCGTCAGTCAATACCGTAACATTATATCTTTGCATTTGAAGATTGAACGGACATATAACCTTTTACGATCTTTGACATTTTACTTTACATCATAGCACATAAAATTGAGAATGGAAATGGGGAATATGTCAAAGAGACAACAACCCGACCAAAGAACAGACAACAGCCGAAGGCCACCGATGGGTCTTCAACGCAGCGAGAAAATCCCGCACCCGGAGGTGTCCTCAGCTGGCCCCTAAATAAAATTGTGTACTAGTTCACTGAAAATGAACGTCACACTAAACTCTAAAACATATAAATGAACTAAAATAAAAAAAAAACATACAAAACTAACAAAGGCCAGAGGCTCCTGACTTGGGACAGGTGCAAAAATGCGGCGGGGTTAAACATGTTTGTGAGATTTCAACCCTCCCCCTATACCTCTAGCCAATGTAGAATAAAGAAACACATAGCAATACGCACAGTAAAACTCAGTTTAAAAGAAGTCCGAGTCCGATGTCTGAATAGGTAACAAAAGAAACTAAGCAAAATGACAATGATACATAAATTAACAAAGGACTACTAGCAGTTACTGACATGCCAGCTCCAGACCTCAATTAAACTGATTGAAAGATCCCTCCCGTTAGGGGTTTAGTATCATACCATCATAAAATATATGAGAAGAACATAAACCGTATCATGCCAACAACTGGTTTTAGAATAAATGTGTTTATTTCCGATGCAAAGACCCTATGAGTGAATCAATATTAATACCAAAATATGCAATCCTTAATGACCTGACAACAGTATCGTAACTATATCATTTCCGAATAAGTCTGTTTAAAGGTTTGGATAGCTTTTGAGGTGAATGCCGACATTTTTGTGCTTTGTAAAGAATATTACCATAAAATATTGGATGTGAAATACCTGAACGTATAATATGTCTGTATTTTATATTTTACGGAAGCCTTTAGGGCCATGCTAATTTACTTTTTACAATTTGATATAACAAATTATCAATTTGATTTAACAAATTATTAATTTGATTTAACAAATTATTAATTTGATTTAACAAATTATCTATTTGATATAACAGATTATCAATTTGATATAACAGATTATAATTATTTGATATAACAATTTATGAATTTGATATAACAAGAAAGAAAATTTGATATGTCAAATTACTCATGCATGGATTGGGGTTATCCCCCTTCTCTATTTGACATAAAGGATATATAAGTGAAACGCTTAAACTGTATAGAGATATAGACCTAAATGTTTTTTGCATTGCTCATGATCTGAAATCCTTATTCTATATATACAACGTTATTAATGTGCTCAGATAATACTCGTGTGGTATTTTTTAACAGAAATTTGAAAGTCCACAATCATTCAAAATCTCACGCATGTTTCTTTATTTTTAATAAAAAAATCCAAATCAAAAATAAAAAAGATTTGGTTTTGAAGTTTGGTTGTACCTGTAGAAAACTTATTTCAAACTGGATTGCACATCCTCATTTTAACGACAATATTGTTTACCGTGCCCGGAAATTTAGAAACGATCCTGGTAAACTTATCGATCCTTTAAATAAACTTAATATTCTTAAAGGTTACCAATCCAACACTGTAATTAGATCATTAAATATTGTTTTTATTGGTACTAATATTGATTTTGTTATCAGTAAATTAAACGCAAACTAAATATTATTGTTATATACATATACACATTCATGGATCTACAATCTGTCGATACCTGTATCTTGGCATTGCACAAGGTCATGTTTTTCTCTGACTGTTTATGACGTCTTTACACTAAATCCGTTGGATGTTGGATGTGTACGGATAATTTAGTCTTAGATGCATGAATTTTTTTATTAGTTGTTAGTGGCTTTGAACTAGCTGTCAGTAACTACTCTCAGATCTGTACTTAGTGTCGTTTGAATTGTTTTACATTGTCATTTCGGGGCCTTTTATAGCTGACTGTTCGGTATGGGGTTTGCTCATTGTTAAAGGCCGTACGGTGACCTATAGTTGTTAATTTCTGTGTCATTTGGTCTCTTGTGGAGAGTTGTCTCATTGGCAATCATACCACATCTTCTTTTTTTATATATACCAACATCTCAATAGAACTCTTCGTTTCGCTTTGACTTGAAAATATGCAATATAAATTGATCAAAAAGTTCCCCCTTTTCTCTTTTATATTTATTCGTTCTAAGGCACCAGGTCCCATGTGCGAAATTGAGAAACTAGTCCCGTAAAACTGTCTCAAATAAAGGGGAAAGGAGAGGAGGGTTAGTTATAGAAACATTAAACCTGTAAATTAAGTTTTGAAAATGCATTAGATATTTGTCACTGGACGTCAGATGAACAATCAATTAATACACGAAATGCGCCAGTTCGGGTTATGCAACTTTTTATTAATCATTATTATGATAAAATCATACTATTTGTAGAGAAATTCACAATTTGTTATATCAAATTAATAATTTATAATATCAAATAAATAATTTGTTATATCAAATTAATAGTTTGTTATATCAAATTAATAATTTGTTATATCAAATTGATAATCTGTTATATGAAATAAATAATTTGTTATATCAAAATTGAAAATCTGTTATATCAAATTGATAATTTGTTATATCAAATTGATAATTTGTTATATCAAATTGATAATTTGTTATATCAAATTGATAATTTGTTATATCAAATTGATAATTTGTTATATCAAATTGATAATTTGTTATATCAAATTGTTAAAAGTGAATTAACATGGCCCAAAAAGGCTTCCGTAATATTTACGAATGATGTTTTTGTACCGATTATAAAATTTAGTAAATGTTTTGACTAGTTTGTGATATCGAAAACCCTGGTGTAATAATTTTTTAGTAATACAGAGATTTCTTTCGTTGAAATCAAATATGTTGTCACAATGTTTACATTGCAAATTATTGTATAAAAATAAGGAGATGTGGAATGATTGCCAATGAATAGTCTATTCAATAAAAGATCTTTTTGGCAACTAATATAGTTTCGTCAAAAGAGGATTTTGTAATTACGGTCCTAGTTGCCAGCAAGTTCGGATTATCATTATTGTTGTAAATTCCTTTTTCATTAGGTACACGGTTTAGTTTATAATTTTAAGGATATAACGATAACAGAATTTTGAACTTAGTATCGACAATTCAGTCTTCGGTAAAGTCTTGTTGCAATTACTTCTAATTTTAGGTCCTCAATGCAACTAAACCTCGTTCTTTACTTGGACGTTTTAACTTTTTTGATTCAAGCGTTACTAATGAGTCTTTTGATGAGTTACTTCTGTGTTGACATAAATTATCATTGATATGGTCATAATTATAAATTAACTGTTTACAAAACTTTGAATTTTTGAAATACTAAGGCTTTTCTACCTCAGGAATAGATTACCTTAGCTGTATTTGGCAAAACTTTTAGGAATTTTTGGTCCTATGCTCTTCAACTTCGTACTTTATTTAACCTTTATAACTTTTTTTGATCCGAGCGTCACTGATGAGTTTATTTGAAGACGAAACGCGCATCTGGCGTACACAATTTTAAGCCGGTATCTTTAATGAGTGTATTCTATTTATATATAATCGAATTGAACTACAATTGATTTATTTCGCTTGACACAATTATAGGAAGAATTGCCCCATAAAAGTCTGGTTTGGGTAATAAACACTGAGTGACTCTGTAAATAATCTTTAACCTATCTAAATAAGCTAAGATTTAATAAGTATAAATATGAGAATAGAACATACACCCACAGAATCATCTGAAAGTTAATTCCTTAAGATGAAACATCGATCACTCTATGTTCATGGTATGGAAGACTTTCTTTCGCTGTCTTATTGTTCCGTACCCGTATCTCACTTTTTTTTCTTAATATTTTTTAGTGATTGGAGGAATTAAAACAAGTCAGTGATAAAACTCAGAAAGGCTAAATAATAAAAATTAAAAAAAAATTTCCAGAAGTAATAAAACAAACCAACTCAATATGTCAGGCTTTTAACAATGTCAACCATATACCTGAACAGATGCAAGATGTTTACTGTTTAAAATTGGTCTCAACCATCAGAATATATGAAAACACTAACAATGAACAGATTGAGCCTTTAGTCAGGAATTTCGTCATGCGCAATCTGGGTGTGTCACTTGGTTTTTAACTTCTGTTCAAAAGTTTGTTTTGGTATCAGATATTGCATTCACTCTTTTGAGTTTTATTTTATATTAGTAGGAGTGTGGTGCTGTTATGATAGTCATACGATTTGGACACTTGTCTATGGTCTCTACATGTATCTTGGTTATTTTGTCACTCGGTTGCTGTCTCATTGACGTGTACCCAGCAACTCATTTTATTCATATAACTGTATGATAAAATCTTAACACTTGACATTTTTATTAAATTTTTGTTTCATATGAGTATTGACTAGTTTGAGTCAACATTAGTCTACCGATATTCAAATCTAACACATCGACTTCGAAGATACCAATGAAGGTAACAAACCAAAAGTGAGGGGATCGTATCAACTTCAAAAGGTGCGAGACAGGAAGCTTCGACAGGTTGAGCGCCTCCTATGCATGGATCACCCTCTATGCAAATACGCCCTTAGTAACAATGTCACAATCGGGAAAAAAAAAAACAATCGACACATTTGCAAATCAGACGAATATTCTGGTGTCTAAAGATTTAAGACAGCGCAAACATGTCGATAGTGAGTCTTGACATATCGTGTCAGTCAACGAAGTCGTGATTTTGACCGTAAAAGTAATGTAGTGTAAATTTAAGTCGTTCTTCCTCATATCTAAGTTTTAATGTAATGAGCACACCCTGTTAATAAAGTACGTATAGTGTAAACATGAACACGAGCGTAACGTATTAATTGATGAGAAGAGAGGGTATGTTGGAAAGTTGAAATCATCACATTTTTCAAAGTACTGTTGTAGAAGATAAAAATAAAGAATTCATTAGATAATACAAAATTTAGAATAATGTAGACGAAATAAGTTTAGACTTTACCAAATTGACAATTCATATATACCTGACTACATTCACCATACTATAATATGTTTACCTCACAAGTGACAATATGCTGTCTTTCAATGTAGGTCTAGTGAAAATTTCAACATCTTTCTTCAAATACATGTAGATAATAAATATAATCATAATAAAGAATGCAACTACACCCCACAATTGGAACTGTTCCCGTCTGAAATATAAAAAAAAATATATGTTTTGATTATACAGCACATAAAAAGTATCAAAAAATGTACAAACTTTCCTGTTATCAAAAATATAAATGACTTATCAATATTTATCACGTCACTGCAAACTAGTTCATATCGAACCAACTCAAATTAGCTGTCAACGAAAGGAAAATTAATAACAGAAATAAAATATCGACCTGTTTACAATAACATTTTATTTGAGAAATTCTATGACAAATTCTAATATCAAGGTCTTGAATCAATAAACGTTGGATTTGATAACAGGATGTAAAGTGTATACATTCAATACGTATATTTATAAACTCTGGATAGTTTACGGGGAATGTGTTGTCTAAACATTTGAAGGTATCGTTTAAAAATGTATCAAGAAGTATAAGCTAGATCATTATGACAATTAATCATAAATTGCGATTTGCAACTACAGTAATCAGGCAAATCAAAAATAAGAGTGGCAGAGCGAGTTCCCATCGGAATACCAATCTCTTACCGATATAATGATAAAAAACGCTTTTATGATTTCTTTGCAAGTCTAGTAAGTGTATTTTTGTAAGTTTTAATACAGTAAAATGCATAGTAACGACTTAATCAAATTTAAGTTCTGTCATAGAATTGAGAGGTTTAGCTAGCTATAAAACCATGTTTAATCCAACATTTTCTATACAAGGAAATGCATGTACCAAGTCAGGAATATTACATTTGTTTTCCGTTTGTTTGATGTGTTTGAGATTTTGATCTTGCCATTTTTGTTATTTTACTTTTTAGATACAGCCAGAGATGTCGAATGATTTACTTTGATGAAATTGAACATAAATACATATCAATACGTATATTTACAATGTAGTATCTTTTGCTGGTTCACAACAGGTAAACTTGTGATCCTTTTCACAACATTCAGACTTTGTTTGGTCATTGCAGCTGTAGATATTACCCTGACGCCATCCAATGTCGTCATTTTTTAAACACTCCGTTGCATCTATACAAAACATTTTCTATTTTTCAATATGACAACATATGTTATTGAAACTGGTAAAAGTTTGCTCATGAAATATTTTGCAGACTATAGAAGTAACTCAATGCGCCAGTAAAACAATAAATAGACAGTATCGTGTTATTTTTATTTTATTTACATGAAGTGTATTTGAAATTGAATAATTAAAATTAATATAGTGAAAGAGAGAACCAAATTACATAAAAAAAATTAAATAATTCCCATATATAAAATTTGTATGGTATGGGTAACGTTATTTCGAAGCAGAACTGAAAGAAATGGATAAAGTTACTTTTTAGACCGTTTGGATAGGAAATATGAAGAGTGATATTATAAATCCAACAAATAAATTCAATCAAGTGTCTACAAGACGTTTATCTGGCAGATATAAGTACAAGTATATTTGTAGTTGAAATTTAAATTGTGTCTGCCATGTTTGCTCTAGGCCATCTTGCATTTGAGGAAACTGCAAGTTAACTCAGATATTTTTTAAGCTGCTTATCATACTAGGTTTTACTGGAAATTTTATTTAAAAGGCCGTTGAAAGCAAACTATGTCTATTTTCAAATGTCAATGACGTACCAGCGACTTCCAAAAGACATATGTGTACACAGATGACTATATATTTCTATATGTGTTTATCAAATAATGAAACAGAATTTTGAAATTAAGGAAATTTTTGTTTTGACAAAATCAGGATTCAAATATTAGTTATTATACCTTCTTCTGTACATACGGGCTTTTCTCTTGCATACGCCCACCTGTTCTAATTTCCTGATTTGTGCTCGCAAATAATATGGTTGTTAACATTAAGTGCAAGTAATTACAGAGAACATACAAAGTCATTTTATTTCTTCTCGTCCAGTTTCATTATATATATTGTAGCACCAGTGAACAAAGCATTAAAGAGCCAAGTTAAAACTCTATAAAATTAATTCGCAATATGATAACAGTCTATTTAGACTTCAGGGACGTTCTTTAAAACAATGATTATCAACATCACCCCCCCCCCCCCCCAAAAAAAAAAAATCCACCAAAAAACACCAAAAACAATGATTATCAACAAATTAATAACCCGAAAACATTCCATAACAAACATCTTCCAAAAAACAAAAATGTCAGCCAACCAAATAAAAATATGTATATATAACTATTAACTCTTTGTATAATACAATGTGTTTTCGTCATGATATACTGTTCAAATCAACAAATTTCATAAAAGCATATATTTTTTATCATTTTCTACTTTGGCATGAACTATTTTATGTAATTAAAATGTCAGAAAATAGCCCATAGAACTTTACGGGTTTTTGCTTCAAAATTATTAAACTGAGATCTTTATCTGAATTTAATCTAATGAATTATTTTGCATGATGTACTGTAGGGAAGCATAACGGCGAAAACTTCATTTATAAAGCAAATATTGATATTTCATCATTATTGCAACAGGTGAATGTGATAAAACATATAGAATCTGTAAATTATATCTTGAAGCCGACTTTTTAAGATCAAAGTCCCATGTTGACCGTGAAACGTTAATTATGCGTGTTACATGAATGTCCTCATGGAATGAACATCAAATACGTTAATGTCAGTCTAGTGACAAACCAAGTGTTTTTAATGTATGTTATGCGCCTCATTCTTAAACTTTAGACCAACAATTATGTAGAAATGACACTAAGCCGTTCTGTGACAGATATTTTCAATTAAACGCCTTCATCTTGGTTATTAGAATTTTATTCCCTAGTCTAAAACTCTTATTTCGTGTTACTGAGTCGTTCTGAGTCTATGTGGTTTTTTGTCTACTGTTGTTTTTCTTTTCTTTTTTTGCCATGACATTGTCAAGCTGTAATCGATTTATCAGTTTAAATATTCCATTGGTTTCGTCCATCTATCTTTTATTTTCTTATTCACTATTTTTCTATTTTCTTGACTTTTGAGAATCATATCTTAGAATATTTTGACAACCACTGGTCCTCCCTCCGCCCCGAGGATATCACAAACCCAGTAGTCGGCATTTCTTTGCTGACATGAAATATCATTGAATCGATCATATTCTGTCCATTCGATGTTGTTATTTTCTACCCTGGGCATAGATGCACAAGACTATATTTAGATTAACTTTTTAGAGTTTTGGGGTCAAATGCTCCTCAACTTCAAATTTTGTCTACAAGATGTTTTTATTTGGGCGCCACAGATATGTATTATGCAGCTTTAAACGTGTACGGCGTAACATTTAAGCATATGATTTTTGATAATTTTTTTAATATAAAACAAATGTTAAACTACTTCTTGCAACCTTATTTTATAACAATATAAAACGACACAGCCTTGGTTTTGTACAAGATTACACATGTTTGTTTTTCTACAGAGAAAAAAAAAATATACGGGAATAAATATGAAGTAAATGCCTCCAAAACAATATGATATAAGGCTTTGATAGTTTCTGTGTATAAATAAGAAGATGTGGTATGATTTCCAAGGAGACAACTCTCCATCCAAGTCACAATGTATAAACAGTTAACATTTATAAGTCAAAGTATGTCCTTCAACACGGAACCTTGGCTAACACCGAATATTAAGCTATAAAGGACCCCAAAATGACTAGTGTAAAAACAATTCAAACAGGAAAACTAACGGTCCAATCTATATAAAAAAACGAAAAACGAGAAAGACCAACAAACGACAACCACTGAACAACAGGCTCCTGACTTAGGACAGGTGCATAAAAAATGCAGCGGGTTTAAACGTTTTAAAAGGCGCCAACCTTCACCTTAACCTGACAAAGTAGTGTAACATTACAACATAAAAAGACACACTATAAAATATCAATTGAAATGGCTTAAATCGATCAAAAAGACATTTAAACAAAAACAAAGACAACTTTAACCTGGGACAAAATGGCGTTAAATAAAACAACGTACACAGGTAAATTTAAATATAATAATTGTGTTGTTAGGAGTACGGAAGTAAACTTTTTTTTACAATAATAATAAATTTGTTGTTCACAGTACGAGTACAGAAGTGAAAATTTATCGTCATACTAAATACTTATCAAATGTGTTACATATAAGAAATAGTGAGACGAGATATAACACAAAATAAGTAAACATTGAATTACAGAAATGCATTACAAATTGTGTCAACAGGTCAAATTAACACGAAAGTACGATTTGAGAGTACTCGCAGTTACTGAAAGCTAGTTAAAAGCCAAAAACAATAATAATAAAAAAAGCATGCTTCAGAGACTAAAATCAATTATAACACATCCCAGGGATCTAGTGTTTTAACGCCATCGACCGTCAAAGAAGTCATGACTTGTGCAATGCCAAAATAAAAGTATCGACAGGCAGTAAGATCGTTAGGATTTAATCTTATAATAAATATATATCATGTTATATATAGGTAAAGCAATCTCTAAATAGAAAATAAACGCGGTTGTGTATTCATACATCCCAAAACCCATTCGAAAAGAACACAAATTTAGTTATATATTCCTTCCATAACAGTTTGCAAAATATTGTTTAACCTCAGACGAATGCTTGAAGAAAGTATGATCTGGATAATTGTAGCAAACGTCCACTCGAAAACATATTTTATGTATATACAGTACGAGAAAATGGAAATTCTGATCAAACGTGAAACTGCTCCGTTTGAAAAATTTAAAAGCGTGGCTCACTGCTATTAAGAGAGAGAGAGAGAGAGAGAGAGAGAGAGAGAGAGAGAGTGTGTGTGAGATAGAGAGGGTAAATTCTGCATGAGACAATTATTCATTAAATATAATATTGAAAATGTATTTATGTTCACTTGTACTGAATATACATGCATTGTTGTATTGTAAGCTACTGCGTATACAAATATATATATAAATAAAAAAACAAAACAAAAAAACAAAACAAAAAAACAAAAAAACACAATTTGAAAGTTTTTTTTTTCCATTTGAAAAATACATAACACATTATATTTAATAATAACATTGTAATTTGTTTGCTTCCTTTACTTTAAAAAAAGTTTAAATATATTTAACTTACCGATAGTGAACTCAAAAAATGATACCAGAAACACTTTCAGCCACGAAACAGTAACAACGTCCATTCTAAACACCTTTAAGATTTAATGAAATTATTGATTATTCTTTCTCAGGTAATACATTGTCAACTTAATGTAAGCTGTCACAATTAAGTCATGTTGATTCCGTCGTCATTCTTACATTTATCTGAAAACTAAATGGAAATAATGGTTTAACATAAAACAGAATAAAATTGTCAACCAACATTCAGGAAACCCTTCCTGTAAGCCGATATGTTCTAAATTATGTGTTAAAACGGACATTTGTTGTTAGGTGTTAAGAATCGATATTAGTGCAATTTCAGTTCTTGTATTTACAATGTCTATAAATAAAACAATTGACCGACAAAACACCAAATAAAAAAAACCCACTCTCCTCTTAGACAAATAATGGAAAATTGATAAAAATGTCAAAATTGCAAAAACAATACATATGTTTATGTGTCTTTTTATAGCATAAACTTCGGCTTTCATGTATGGTCTTTAATCATTGATTCAATAACATATTTGCACTAAGAAATCAAACAGCATCGTGCACTTTGGTAATTAACACAAGTTGCAACTATCAAGCTTGTCACAACTTACACGCTGCGTCATTATTTAAGATATCCACAACAAGTTTGACAATCCTATAATCATAAGCTTGAAGATTTATTATACTGAAAGCAGTGCTTAAAAGTCAGAAAAGTAAGAAAACAGATTTGGAATTGACAAGACAACCCAGGTGATTGTGTCATATTTTCCCTCCTCACTAAAATTCCACCCGAAACATAATTATAGATAAACTACAATAATTGTTACTCTTTATCTTTATTCCATTCTCTTTATCAGCATTGAATATTATTGTACTACTTCTTTCAGTGGAAATATTATTTCAGAGAAATCCTTGCTTTTAGAACTAAGTGATATTTTAGGAACTTTTGTTCCGTTGGACTTTCTTCTCAATTTTTATTCTATTAGTCCTATCTTTATTAATTAATCAAGAAGAGAAAGCTATAAACGATAATTCTTTTTATGATTTTACCTAAAATTCAGTTTTCTTGGTGTTTTTTATTCAAACTCATTAAAGCTCTTGCTTACTACTAACTTTATAGTTTGTACTATATTCAGTGTCTTCCTAAAATTAAAATTGAGAATGAAAATGGGGAATGTGTCAAAGAGACAACAACCCGACCATAGAACAGACAACAGCAGAAGGTCACCAATAGGTCTTCAATGCAGCGAGAAATTCCCGCACCTGTATGTATCTTTGTTAATGATTCCTGCATTGTTGTTGTTTTTTTTTTACAAAATCATTAATGATTGATTCAAAATTATACATTTTTTTCATGATTTTTAAATAGAAGTAATCTATATTTTCAGATTTTTTGTGGAAATGGCTACTTGTGTTTAAATTCTATCAATGGAATAACAACCAGTTCTGTCATTTAGAAAATCATAAAGTATATAACAACATAATATTATAATTCAAGCTGCATCTGTAAAAAAAATCCATGAGGTCAACATTTCATAAGATACAATTATATTGAATAATCCTGTTAACTCAAAATTTTAACATCAAATTGAATGACTGAAAGGTTTATCCTAATAACTTAAAGGACAAATATTTGGTTGATGACGTTATTTACATAATACTGAAGTTTCAAGGCGGAGCCGCCTTTAAAGATTCAAAAGTTAGTTTTGTGACTGAACAATGAGTTTATGGTACTTGTCATTTAAATACTATGGATAAAAATTGCAAACGACTGTGCAACTTTAGAACAGTATCATGAATTCCTACAATACCGAAAATAAATCTAAATTGTATAAAAAGATTAACATTAACAAAAAGCACCCTGCAATTGTATTTTATATTGATTCTGGTGAAATTCTGCACGGTGCATTATATTCTTTATTTACACAAAGCGGGCGGGGAATGACAGACCGATATTCTTTTAAAACAAAAAGACCATAAAATAGGGAAAAAAAAGAAAATTGAAAACAAGGACACAGTATTCTACGAATCCAGTGTGTTAATGTAACGCATTGTTTAGGACATAAATAGGTCTAAATGTATCAATTACTTTCATCTGTATAATGAACACTATAGACAAAGCAACGATGATATTTATTAAAATCATGCTGGAATAGTTAAAAAAAATAGATATGGTGTGATTTATGGTTATATACATTTTTCTTTTCCTATTGTAAATTTTCCTTTCCTTGATGGAGATGCTATTTTGGCTCCTTGTTATGTTGTGTATAATTTTCAAATGGTTTGATATACGCGTGTTTTCTAAAGTAAAAAAAAAATCCAAAGTTATATTCTATTAAAAATATACCCAGAACAGTAATATTTTTCTCATTTCGTAGAATTTCTTAACAAGTTTTCCCGACTTGTATATATATATATATATATATAAGTACGTCTAAACAAGTAACAACTCTACGATAGATCCATGCATTGGATCACCAGTGAAGGTGATACACGGCTGAAAACACATATTATATTCATGATTGCTCTAAATATCAGCACAACAATGTTAAATCTGCACATTTGCGAAAGAAAATTTTTGTTCTTCCCTCGACGGGATTCGAACTCATACTATTGGGATATCGAGACAACACTGCCTACACTGTGTCAAGCGCTTTTGACCACTCGGCCACCTAGACTGAACTAAAAATTCAGCTTTCGGTGGCCTAGTGTTACCTCGTCAGTATAATCTAGAGTTGTAACACAGTACATGATATATTAGGCATGCAGATGGAATTGATTGCAGATTAGCTAAATTATCTATCGTTAAGGATCGTAAAATGCAGTCACAGAAATAATTATATGATAAGTACGTCTAAACAAGTGACAACTCTACGATATATCCATCCATTGGATCACCTTTGAAGGTGAAACACTACTGAAAACACATATTATATTCATTTATGTGTGTGGATATATATGTTGCACACACCTCTAGGAGTTGGGGCTATATTGCAATCACCTTGCTCGTCTATTCATCCATTAGTCACACTTTTCACAGGTACTACTGAACAGAACGGCTTCATTATTGGTCAGCAGCTTAACAGTGATGAGTTGGAACGTCTGACAACTTTAGTTCTGTCAGAGAGGTTGCTACCTCATTGCCAATATTTAAACAATTTCAATATGTTGAAAGAACTTAACATATTTTTAAAAATTCTTTACAAAAAATATGCAAAAGATAGCAAGGGGATATTCAAAACTTGTAAACCGAGAGAAGCTGACAACACCATGGCAAAAACTAAAGCAGACGAAAACTTAAGATAACCAATTTCAGAAAACACTACATAGAAAACCGAGGACTGAGCAACAAAAAATCCAAAAAAAAAAAACACTGTGGTTGATTGCAGATGCTCTGGAAGGGTAAGCATATTCTGCTCCATTAGTTGCACGAGCCGTGTTACTCCTGATACAAATTAGGTGATCAGTCTAATTCAGTGATGTCAATACAGATAACACCACGCCTCTCTGTTGAGTCCGATATCTATCCACTATAGATAGTCACAAGTGGATATATATCGTAATCAACATGGTCACATGGTGGAATTTATATCTATATCATATCTGACAAAACAATTTTGTAAAACACTCGTATAGTATGTTTCATATCCGAAATTCACTAGAGATTAAACGAAGGTAGAATTTTATATATATTTTTTAATTTGAAAAAAAAATCCAATTAAAATACTTTTAAGGAAGTATTTGATGACATGTACAATATTGAATTATAAAGACAAAAAAAGTTTTTTAAAAGCTATATCATAGACGTTGTAATAATCTTAGGCAGTCATCTATTCATCCAACTAGCCTCAACAATTCTTCGAATGACGAACAGTGTCAGTGTGGAGAATCGGGGTTTCATTAATATTGGTTTTCAAATGAGTAAATTTAAATTAATATTCTAATCAGGAAGTTGGCAATCAATAGTTATTTTCTTGTTTTATTGATATTTCAGCAGACAATCTTCACGTGTTATAATAATCTTGCAACTAATACAAAAGGTATTTACATCTTTTTATGAGGAATAACATTGCTTCCGCTGATACAATGAACATTAATTGAATGATTAAAGGTAACAATAAAATCATGAAAGTAGTAATTAAATTACTAAAACCACTAAAATCTGGTTTTATTGGTTCCATGCATTTTATTATTCGTTTTATTGTTTGTTGGCCAAAAATAGTTAAAAGTAACATTATATTATTGGCAGGAATTCAGTAATATAAAAATGCTACAAAGTTAATTGTATATCATTACTTGGGATGCATTTTAACATGAATGTGGTACAATGTAAGATAAACAATATATATTTATATTTAAGACAGACAGACATATACCATAAACATACTAATGTATAGACAGAGTCTGAGCTTGTTGTGCTATATGATATAAAAACTAAATTGACGAAAAGACGTCATTTATTCAAAATCATAAAATGCAAAAAATACATTTTGCAAATAAAAGATTTGACATAAAAGTTCATAATTAATATGAAATTATTATACATGATTAATACGAAATTACATCAACTTAAATCATTTCAATATCATATAAATTGAATAAATGACAAGGAATAGCAAAGGTCGGGAGAAAAATCTGCCACAAATCCACTATTAGGTTGAAAGAATGGATCCCCCACCCGAGGACTCTGACGACGTGAATACAATTTATATATAACTTGTTAGAATTTTGAAGCATGACTATCAGATACAAAAAAAAATCCCACTGTATTTTTGTAAAACGTTTCCACATTGAAATGAAATATTAAAGTTCATATAATTATAAACCTACATATATTACTTTTAAATTATTTCTTGTTGATAAACATGAAAAATGATGTAATTTTTATTCCAGACAGGACCACAGCAATAAAGTTACAATACTCATCATTATTAAGTATATTTATTCACATTCCGTCCTAAATCTAGACATTTAATAACATAATCCTCTAAATATTTTAGTGCAAACAATTTTATTAGTACAGTAATTAACCAAAACCATTTTTGCCTCATTTGAGAGATCTGAAATATCTCTCCATAATCATTGTATACTGGACAACTAATAATAAAATGTTGTTCATATTCAATCTTTAAACAAAATAAAAGTACATTTTTACAAAACCCTGACTTCATTCTATATATGAAGTTTTATATCTGACTCTTTCTATAATGAGATCATGAGCACTGACTCTCATTTTG